AAAAAAAAAAAAAAAAAAAAAAAAAAAAAAAAAAAAAAAAAAAAAAAAAAAAAAAAAAAAAAAAAAAGAATGAACTACTTCAATCAATCAATCAATCAATCAATCAATCAATCAATCAATCAATCAATCAATCAAACATTCAAACATTCAATCAATATGCGAATGGATCCAAACGGACGGATCCATTCGCGTATTGATTGAATGTTTAAATGTTTGATTGATTGATTGATTGATTGATTGATTGGTTGATTGATTGATTGCGCTATGGCGGGTGTGAAGCCCGCGGGCTGGCGAAGTGGCGGGCGGGACGCAAGGGGGAACGTACGAGACTGGGGCACAGGCGGACGGGACACAGGCGGACGAAATGGGTCGGCGGAGGGAGGGGGAGCTTGCGGGAGCAGTGGGGAGCGGGCGTACACGTGTCACGCGGAGGATGGTTTCGACGTCGAGGACGAAGAGTCGGAGACGGCTGAATAGGAGGACGGTGCGATAGAGAAGGAGGAGGAGGGGGAGGAGGAGGAGGAGGAAAATGAGACGATGGAGGGAGAGGAGGAGGACGAGGAGCAAACGACGGAGGTGGAGTCGGAGGAGGAGTTGGAGGAGGAGGAGGAGGAAGAGGCGATTAAGAAGAAGAAGAAAAAGACGAAGAAGAGGAGGAGGAGGAGGAAAAGGAGATAATAAAGGGAGAGGAGGAGGACGAGGAGCAGACGACGGAGGTGAAGTCGGAGGAGGAGTTGGAGGAAGAGGAGGACGAGGCGATGAAGAAGAAGAAGAAAAAGAAGAAGAAAAAGAAGAAGAAAAAGAAGAAGAATAAGAAGAGGCGGAGGAAGAGGAAAAGGAGACAATGGAGAAGAAGACGAGGCGAAGAAGAAGAAGAAGAAGAGGAGTTGGAGGAGGAGGAGGAGGAGGAGGAGGAGGAGGAGGAGGAGGACGAGGCGACGACGACGACGACGAAGAAGAAGAAGAAGAAGAAGAAGAAGAAGAAGAAGAAGAAGAAGAAGAAGAAGAAGAAGAGAAGAAGAAGAAGAAGAAGAAGAAGAAGAAGAAGAAGAAGAAGAAGAA